ACCGTTTCTGTGCTACAGAGGGCAGAGATGAATATTTGTGACTGAGATAGTATGTCCCGCAAAGCCGAAAATATTTACTCTATGGCCCTTTACAGAAAATATTTGTTGATCCCTTTACTAGATTATAGGCAGATATATCAGTAAGGAGGCTATTGCAAAGTCCAGGAGATAGATGGTGGCTTGGACTGCGGGCAATAGTACATGGGAAAACAAGTGGGGATCAGTGTGGGGGACCGTTTTGGAGCGGGGGCTGAAAAGACTGGCTGTTGAATTGGTAGACTGGTGGGATTGACTGGAAAACACTCTTTATCCTGAAAAACGAACCATCTTGCCAAGAAAGTAAATAGATTATGTTGCATTTCTTTCTATATATTTTAAAAGAAAAAAGAAAGATGTATGTAACTCTTAAAAGCAACATCAGTATAAGATGGAAAACATTTATATATTTGTCTGATATATAAAGGCATTTTTAATTGTAATTCTTGCTCTATAGCTTCTTGCCATGTATTTTTAAATTTCCCAACCTCTTCTTAATATATGCTCATCCTAAATATTACAACTGTTCCATAATTTTTGGAAACAGTATATTGTTTTAAATGGCTTGCAAATATAAATTTGGGCCGAATGCTTACAAAGCCCTCTAGGTTTCCTGTAGGTGCTTTGACTATAGCCTGTCATTTTTCATTTGCATGAGTTTGTCAGCTGTGGCAGGGTTCGACTTTTTATTATTTTTAGGGATGAAAGTTATTAGGTTTTGCTTTTTAAGTTTTTTCCCCTTGTATAGCACCCTGACTATGATAGAAATACTCTTTGAAACCTTAAAGCTGGATTATGGGATATTTACCATACAATTACTTTTTAAACAGCAATCTAAACCTTTAAAATGTGTAGCATTTGTTTCTGCTACACCTGAAATGTATAAAATTTTATAAAAATTATATTTGCTCTTCCTGACATTTGTAAAATTTTATAAGAACTATGTACAGTTCTTTATACTTTTCTGTCTCTAGTAATATGACGGACTAGATAATGTAAAAAGCCCTTCTGCTTCAAATCATCTAGACATGCTAGCTAAAATATAACAAGCATCCACTTAAATGAACAGCTGAGCTTTCAAGAAAGTAAGTGAAACGCTGAGGATCCAAAAATGGAAAGAAGATAAAAAATCGGAGTGTGTAAACTGACATTTTGGCTGCTCCATTGTTTGGGGTGAGTTACTGGTCCAGATACTGTAGGGATTTGAATTTTAATACTCATATGGGAATAGGCTACAAGGCCTTGAGACTGCAAAGTGGGGAACTGTATCACACTCCAAACATAAAACCAGGGTCTTAAAGGACTATACCTTTAGCAAGATGTTAGATGAGGAAAAGAACCCACCCACCAGCACAGGGAGACTACAAAGAAGCTTGCAAATAAGACTCCCCTTAGAATTTGTAACTATGGACTTGCCTCATATTCACTTGGAGTTTAAATTAATATTACCTGCTTGGTCTGGGAAAACCTAACTGAGAAACTAATACTAAAAAAAGAATCATAGGGCAGCAAAACTTCTTGAGTTACTTGGAAGAAGCAAGTATAAAACATCCTTAATGGGACAAGTTTTCAGAATTCCCACAGGTAGGCTGCATGAAGATGAGTTTGCAATACCCAGTTTAAAAATTTACAGGATGGTCATCCATTATCACAAATCAGTGGACACAATAGAATTAAATCCCTAAGACTTTCAGATAATTGTCATACAGAGACCATAAAATAAGTATGCTTAAAATGATTAAAAGCTTAAAATAAGGAAATGAAATGTAAGATAGTAAATCAAAAAATTTGGAAAGGGATCCAATAAAACTTATAGAAATTAAGTCATTAAAATTTAAAAATGCATGGATTAATAAGCGGAAATAGTTGAAGGGGGAATAAATGGCTAAAAGAGAGAGCTGAAGAAATTATCCAGAATGCAGGAAAGAGAGAAAAGGAGGAAAATAAGAAATCTTTGGAGAACCAGAAATTGAATGAGATGATCCAACATGTCTAAAAGAAGTTTCAGCAGAAGAAAAAAGATTATGGTGGTGGAGGAATATTTGAACAGATAGTAGCTGAAAATATTAGAATTAATGAGGGGCAGAAGTTGTTAGATTCAGAAGCCTAATGAATCTCAAGCAGGATAAATTAAAAATTAATTCTCACTTAGACACTATGAAAACAAAGAAAATATGGCAGTTTTTATGAATAATATTCTACTAAGATATTGAAATAAGGTTTTAAATATACCAGTCATAGTGATACATTTCCACTGTTCTGTGTGCTCACTATCAGTTCAATTTGTGACTTAAGAGTTTTTACTTTGTAAGGTGTTTGATGATAAAGTTTTTGTCATGGAACATTAGTGTCTATTCATTAGTAGTGTCATGAGGAAAGTATTTCTTTTTGTGATGAGTTTTCTTCTTGAGGGAACTGAGGAAATGGACCATCAAGAAAATGAGGGTTCAGCAGCAGAGCCAGGAGGCCCTGAGCAGTGTGGAGGTCACTGGAGTAACATGGCCCTTGCCCTCCTCCACCCCGCCAGCTCCTTGGCTTGTTGTCCTCTCCCCACCTCTTTCAGCCATGTCTTCTATGGTCAGCTGCCCTGTGCTGCTCTCCGCTGCAGCTTCTGCACCTTGGCCCAGAGCACTGCAAAGTAGCCCTGCTTGGGGCTTCTGGAGGAATTGGACAGCCTCTTTGCTTCTGAAGAACAGCCCTTTGGCGACCCACCTGGCCGTCTATGATATTGCTCATATACCCAGAGTGACCATAGATCTGAGCCTCATTGAGACCAGGGCCACTGAAAGGCTATGTGGGACCTGAGCAGTGGCCAGACTGCCTGAAAGCTTGTGATTTGGTAGTTATTCCAGTCAGAGTCCCAAGAAAACCAGGCATGAAATGGGATGGATGACCTGCTCAACATTGCTGCCACAATCGTGGCCACCCTGACTGCTGCCTGTGACCAGCATTGCCCTGAGGCTATAGTCTGCCTCATTTCAAATCCTGTTAGCCCCACCATCTGATCACATCTGAGGTTTTCAAGAAACATGGAGCATACAACCCTAATAAGGTCTTTGGGGTGACAACCCTGGGTGTTGTTAGAGCCAACATTTTCATTGCAGAACTGAAGGATTTGGACCCAGCTCAAGTCAATGTTCCTGTCATTGATGACTGTGCTGGGAAGACCATCATACCCCTGATCTCTCAGTGTGCTGTCAAGGTGGACTTTTCCCAGGACTAGCTGACAACCTTGCTGGGCGAATGGGGGGGCGGGGGGCGGGGCATGTAGGTAGTCAAGGCTGAAGTTGGAGCAGGCTCTGCCACCCTGTCCATGGCATATGCTGGAGCCCGTTTGTCTTTTCCCTTGTGCCTGCAGTTAGTAGACAGGAAGGAGTTGTCGAATGTTCCAAGTCCCAAGAAACAGTCCCTGTTTCTCTAAACCACTGCTGCTGGGGAAAAGGGCATCAAGAAGAATCTAGGCATCTGCAAACTCTCCCCTTTCAAAGAGAAAGCTGAGGCCATTCTTCAGTTGAAAGCCTCAAGCAAGACGGGAGAAGAGTGTGTAAAGAATATGAAATGAGAAAGCAGTTAGGGAGCAGCACTCCATTTCCTTAAGTTATTAAGGCATCATGTCACTGTAAAGTCATTTCAGATACCTTTGTGTTTCAATTTGCTTTGCTGATGAGTATTGTATTAAGGTTACCATACCTTCCAAATTGTGGGTCATTCTACTGGTACATCACTAGAAGTGGGTTTTGATTTTCAAAAAAAATGAAGGAAGGAAGGAAAGAATGGAGGAAGGAAGGGTTCAACTTCTTCCCAAATACATGGGAGACTTTAAAATCATTGATCGAAAATAATAGCAGATCTATCTGAAATTTTACCTCCCCCCCAAAAAAATTTTGTAACCTTACTTATTCACTTAGTTAAGTTTTAGGATTTATTTTTTCTGTATCATGAAATCTTTCATTTCTTTTTCCTTTTTTTCACCTGTTCTTTTTTTATTCATAGATGGCTAAAAGAACAACTGTATTTGTGTCACTTAAAATGGTTTATTCATATTATGTTTAAAAAGTAAAATGAAAATAAACAAAACTCGCTTTGCTTTCTTTGTTTAGTTAATTAGCATTTCCGTTTTTATTTATTTTCCTTATTATTGCACCACCTGGGCAGCAGACAATTATAGTGGGCCCCCCCGTGAAAATGATTACCTCCATAATCTACTCTTTCCTTGTGGGCCATCTGTTTTGATGTGGGGTAGAATTAGGCAGAAGAAAATCTGCATGCTCCTGACAAGTTAAAATTTCACTTTGAAATATTCTTTCTTTGACCTCTACCAGCATTAATTGTAGTTCTGCCTTAGAGTTTTGTGAGTTAAATGTTTCCTGGCCATTTAAGCTATACAGCTTCATTTATGAGGTAAGGGGTGTGTGTGTGTGTACACGTGCATTGTGTGTGTGTTTTCGGAGAGTGGGGAGGAGAGGAGAGGAATTTCAGGTATTCTTTTGTCAAGCATATACACATTCATGCTGCTTTTCCAAAGTATGTAAAGCCTCTTCATAATACCCTCCACTTATTACAAGATCTCATTTTAACCATTATGATGCATGAGAAAATGTATGTATGTATGTATTTGAGATGTAGAAATTGTCTAGCTTCTAGTTTGTGTTTTTGGACATTCTTTATGGTTTTAAATATCTTCTAAAAGTTTCCTTATTATTCAGTTATAAATTTTATACTAGAAACTTATATTTCAAATAGCACATTTAAATTTTTTTATTTTTTTATATTTACAGCTGATGTATTATTTTATCAGAATATAAGTTTTCAGCAAGGAGATGTTCACATTTTCTTTGCACATTTCCATATACAAAAATGAGTTTAGGTTTTTTCACTTTTTAAATCAACAGACTATGCTTTCTTTATAGTCATTCATATTTAATATGTCATGAATATTAAATTATGTTTGTATTTGTATTTAGGTGACTATTACATGGTTAAAAAGATTTTGGAGGAAAGCAGTTCAGGTGACTTGAACATAAATTGCGTAGATGTGCTTGGGAGAAATGCTGTTACAATAACTATTGAAAACGAAAATTTGGATATACTGCAGCTTCTTTTGGACTACGGTTGTCAGGTACAACAAGGCTAGATAATTTTACTCAGTAGCTGCTAAGTACTGTTGAATATGCCATGTTTTCTTCTAGTTTCTGCTCCTCCTGCCTTCCTCCCTATCTTCTTTCCTTCCTTCCTTTCTTCTCTTTCTTTCACTTTTTATTTGGTTTGAGCCATGAGAAGTTCTAAAAACAAATCAAAAGCCTCTTTTAAAACTTAATTTTTTTCTCTCAACTTTCACTCCCCCACCCCCAGGTCTTATATGTTTTACAACATCTGACAGAGATAAATTATCATGACTTATTAGAGATGACTTTGTTTTTATTATTTATATTATTATTATATGATACATTAAAAAATGTAAGTGTTCTAGAAGTGATGGGGGAAAGATTTTTCTGTGACCCATGCAGTTTACAAGCATAGAACAAGTGCTCCTGACTCACAAAGCAATTTTTAATTCGACTCTGATTTGCTCCTGTTTCATTAAATTTTCCTTTGAGCCTTAATTGTAATGTTCACTTATAACTAATGAATATTTTTAAACTGGAAAATACTGAGCTTTCATATTTCTATCAGTTCAGGTAGAAGAATGACATGAGTATAAGTCTTGAAAGAATTCAGTCAAGAGGTTCTGAAGGAAATTTAATAATAATATTTTCCTCTTTTTAATTAGTTTATGATGGGACTCACATGAATTCTGTCTCTTTTTTTCAAATAGTATGATTGTTCTATTGTAGCTTTAACTTATTAAGGCATATATATATATATTGAGTGGCATCAAGAAGCACTCAGAAGATTTTAAAAACGTAAATGGTTTAGTTGTATGTACAACATGTGGCATTGTCTCTATACATATTAGAGTAGAAAAAGAAATTGCCTTCCTAGCAATTTTAGTTATCTAGAACACCAATGACACCCAGAAAGTAAGTAAAATATACCTCTGAGCAGCCAGCCAGAGTAGATGCCTGGAAGTTTCCCACTTGGGAACTTTAGTCAGAGGAGCATTTCTGGAGCCTCCTTCAAAGTCTATGTTTGCTCATTTATATTCCACTTTAACAAACTTGGGTACTTAGTTTTTTCATCCATAGAGAGAAGTGCTCGAGAGGGGCATGAGACCTGCAGTAGAACAAAATGAGGCAAGGTATCCCTGGCTGTTTAATGAAGATGTCAGCAGCATTGCATACATGACAGTCTCTGAGGAGCTGTGTGCTAGAATGGTAATTAGTGTTTGTAACAATGGCCCAGAGTCAGTAAAGACAAATTAAATTGTATTCAGTACCAATTGTTTTAGAAGAAAGAAGAATATATACTGAACTTCTAAAAGGAGAAAACTTCTGTCAAAATAATTTAAATTTAAAAGTTAAACACATAAAGGCATAAGCTTCAGTTACATAGAAAATAAGGTTGTAAAGGAAGTCCTGGATGCTTCTGGAAAAAGGCAGTATTGTGGTATAATGATCATTTTTGTCTTACACATATGATTCTGTGTATATAATCTGCAATATATACCTGGTTCTTTCACATACCCTATTACATTTGAACATCATAGCTAGCCTTATAGATGATACATTTTATAGATCAGAAAACAGGCTCATAGAGTTTAATGATTTGCCTAAAGTTCTAAACTAAGGGCAAACCTAAGATTTGAACCTGATCTGACTGCAAATTTCATGCTTTTTCCAGTTCACTGAGTCCTGTCTCAGGTTGCCTATGTCCTGTGTACCTATCAACAAATGTCCAAGGCCTTCAATTGGGTGCGATTGTGGAAGTGAATAGGTGAAATATGAGTTTCATTCTAAATGATATTAAAATTAACTGGACAATGAAAGTACACATGAATTTCAAATCATTTAAAAAAACAAAAGTATATTTAACAAGTGCTGAGTGGTAATATAACAATACTTGACCCTTGTATATTACTTTGAGTGTTTTCATGTATTTTATCTCGTGTGATACTTATGGCTCTCAGCTGGACAATCCCACCCCACCCCACCCAGCCAAGGTTTTTTTGGCAATATGTAGAGATATATTTGGTGTTGCAACGGGTTGGGGGTGGTTACTACTGGCATCTGATGAGTAGAGGTCACAGATGCTGGTAAGCATCCTACAATGAATACCCAGGACAGCCCCCACAACACAGATTTACCTGGTCTAAAATGTCGATGGTTCCACCATTGAGAAACCCTGTTTTACACTTAAGCCTTTATGGTTTACAATAAATGTTTTGGAAACATAGAAAAGAAAAGATCACTGTGGATTGGAGCTATCAAAAAAGGTTTCATGGGAGAATATCAGTTGAGCTTTGAAATCTTAATAATTGCTAATATGTATATAGCACTACTTTGTGCCAAGAACCTTAAATATATTTGACTTCTTTAATCCTTTCAATAGCCCCCTGTAAGATAGGTATTATTATTATTTATATTTTATAGAGGAAGAAACCAAGGTAGAGAAAGGTTAAGTCACTGTAGAAATGGCAGACCTGGAACTTGAACACAGCTTCTGCCTCCAGAGTCCATGCTTTTACCCAATACCTGAAACTACACTTAAAAAAATGTGTAGATAGGCCCAGAACAGGGGATGTGAAGAATAATGTAAACAAAGGTATGTGCAGTGTGCATCCTTGAGACAGTGAATTGATTTAGCTTTTTTAAACAAAATATTTGGGGTGGATAGTAGTGGGAAGTATTTGGAGAAAGAGTGAAAAGAAAACTGAGGAAAATGGTCTGATTGCCAGGCTAAGGAATTTGTTTTTTTTATGATAGATAGTGGGGTCATGAAATGAACTTGAAAAAAGATGTGATCTAACCAGTGTTATTTTGGAAAGACTATTCTAGTGGCTGTGTTTTGTATTCAGAAAATGGAAAATGGGGAAGGCTGTAGCTTCTGTGGGCAGTTTGTAATCCAGATGTGAAGAGGTTAAAGCCTGAACTGGAATAGTGGCTGAAAGAATGGGAGGGGTGGCAGATGGGAGAGATGTTATGAGGAAGAAGTGATAGAATGTAGTGAGCATTTAAATTTGGAGAGGAGAATTGAGGAGTCCAAGATGAATTGGAAATCTGAGAAATGGGTGACTGGAAGGATGAAAAAAGCATGAGAAGTTAAGAACAGAAATCGGGCTTGGGGCAGAGAACTGTGAATTCTGGCTCTAGCCTCATTTCTTTTGGGGATATCAGGCAGTCTCCAGAGGACAGTTGCACATGAAGATTTCATCTCCAGGGAGCCGTCAGGCTGGAGGGATGCAGCACACACGACTGTGGAGATGGTCCTCCCACACGGTGAGCATGAGTGAAATCACAGAGAAGAGCAGACAACCGGTGCCAGTTCTTTCTTAGGGAACATCTGTATGAATAAAGGGCACTGGGAGGGAAGGGTGTCACTGAAGGAGTTAGGATAGTGCAGCATTGTGAAAACCAAAGAAACGGTTTAGTGCGATGCTTAGAAATCAAGGAAAAGGAGGAGGCAGGGAAGGCTATTGGGTTCTGAAAGGCCATTTGCATCAGTAGAATTAAGAAAATTATATGCATGGGTTTGAGAATTTGACAAAGTGAGAGAGAAAATTGGAGTGGTAAGAAGATAGGATCAAGTCAAGTTAGCAAAGCATGAGAAAGTATTTTATGTTTTGGGAGGTGGGGACTAGGACTGCTGTGACTGAATGAAGAACCAAGGTCCTGTAAATACAGAAGAGCATTATATAGAAGTCCAAGGTGGACTATTTAAGGAAATAAGTAGTTTCTTACTCTGAGCTTAAAAGAAAGAGTATGGGAGTTGTTGAAAATTCCTAAGGTGAGAAGGAAGATAGCAACCTCATTAATATGTAATAAGTATATAATTGAATAGATTTTAGTAGACAATGATCAATATCTGTGAGACATTGGGAAGCAAAATGAATGAGGACATTTTGTATACCTATAGGTATTTTTTAATAATTTTAAACTTTCTTTTCAGAAATATCTTTGATTTATCAACTAACATACCATACAGAGTAACTTGATGGTAACTCCTTATCTACATGGACTTTCTTTACATAAATAAATGTACCTGAAGCTTAATGCTTGTAGGAATTGACAGATTTAATGTGAATCTTTCTTTTTTCTTTACTAAATAGTGTATTTGAATATAATTTAATTTTACCATCAAAAGTATGAACCATTGAGAATGTAATCATTTTACTTTGCTTCATTTAGTCTGAAATTAAACACATTTGTCCTTATACTAAATGGCTTCAGACTGCTGTGTGTTGATAATGATTTTGCTTATTGATACTTTCTCTTTTCACATTAACTTTTAGCCGTTATTTTCTTTCTCCCTACCTTGCTGGTTTTAATCTAGAGCTGTTCTCTGATTCAGTAAAGACCTGAAGGTACTTGGGGAAACCAGATAGCCATCATTCATAGACAACTCTAAGTCAGTGTGGTTAAGGCAGCTCCTTCTGGGAAATGATGCCCGTGAAGTTGGTTTGCAATCACTCGGTATGCTTTTGTGGGGGTTGTGGGGGCAATTTGCAACTGGACTCCTGGTTATATTTCAGATGGTTAGAATTGCCTGGTATTTTGACTTTACGAACAGTGGCATTACTACAGTTAGCTTTTAGATTAAAATTGAAAATCAGAAATTAAATGTTAAACAGGAATGAACATATGGTTCTTTTTGTTTTTTGCTTCACCTGACCAAATACAGTAAAAACTAAAAACCTAAGAGAAATATTTACAAAGCAGAAGACTTTAAAGGATAGGCAACAGCCCAATGAACCCTAAAAGTTTTAGGGAATAAAAAAATGAACTAAGTTTCCTATCAGGGCAGGGAGTTTTCCCTGTGAGAACTAATGGTTGAGTGTGGCCCCCGAACCTGTTTGGGGACGCTTACTCCTATTTTTAGACATCTGGATAAAGTCAGTAATTTTCAGCCCTGTTTTTGACATCTACATAAAGTAATGAAACCTTTATTCCTTCCAGCTATGAATATTAAAGATCTTGTACTTTCTTTTTTAAGAGAACATTGATTTAAATAGTTGATAAATATTATTACAGTTTAAAAACATACAGGTCAAAAATAATCAGGGCATTCTTAGATTAAATTGTTTTTATTCTCATGTTTCCCTTTTGCTTTTATGGTTCTCCTCTTAAAACAAAAAACAAAACGAAAAGCAACTCCAAAACCTGATGTCTCAGCTTCCAAGTATTGTAGTAAAACTGTATGTAGACTTTGTTACAGAGTTGAAAGTCCCCATTTCCTCAGCTTCTAATCACTTTTTCTCCCTGTCCAAGTTGAAGCTTCAAAATGAGCTGTAGTTCGGGGGTAAAACTACAAAGTCACTTTTTCTTCCTGTGTCTAAGACATTGGTAGCCTAGTTCTTTGTGGTTTTTACTTGCTTAAATTGTTCATATTAATTTCAAACTTGTACATTCAAGCCAGCCATGTATGTTTTCAAGATGAGAACAGAGGGCACGCCCTCTATTTATCTATTTTCCATGGTCTCCTGTCTTCATGGTTGTATTGATGATCATTTTTATTAGACTGAACAGAATTTTTTACCTGTAGTACTAGTTTGGGGCAGTTTCTTTTATAGATTTGGAATGTTAAGATTCTTTTGGTCCAAAATTCAAGAGTAAAGATGCTGGAAAATATTTTCAGCTTTAACTACTGCACAGCTTAGCCCTGTTCCATTAATAAACCCTTCTATCAAGCACTTGTTATTTTACCAACTCCTGTGGTCAAACCCGAACAGACACGTGTATGGTGCTCCACACAAGTACTGCTAAGGAAAGGAGGTGTACCATTTGGACAGTCTGCATTTTTGAAAATCCAGAATTACTATGTATAATACAGTTGAAATTCTTTACTTATGAATTAGTAAATAATTAGTAAAATAGTTTACCTTCTTATCCTTCATTTTTAAGGTCCACAGTTGCACTTTTGGTGGCAATCAACTGAAGTAGTGGGAGCTGTTGATATACTACTTAACCATTGACCAAAACGATCATCACGACCAACTATAGTAGTTAGTACCTTTAAATGTTTATTAACTTGGATTTTTAAATAAAAATAGATCTCCTGCTCCATTGCCATCTTTTTCTTTCCCCAAATTTACTTGTCTTAAGAAAATAGATTTCTTTTAGTTTGTAAAATTTACTTTAAAGTAAATAGACACAAGAATAATATTGCTTTCAGGAAACCTTTTTAAAATCAATCATATTTCCATAATTTTGTCATTGTGGACCAGTATTTGTGTTTGGAACATTCCATAAGTTAAGTTGAAGATACAAGTTAGTTTCCACTTTAATTTATGAATTAAATATAAACAATGAAATCATAAAACCAGAAGAAAATGTAGGTGAATGTTTAATTGATTGGGAGTGGAAGGACTTTTCTAATGACAAAAACAGTGGACAGAAATCACAGTGGCACAGCCTTCAGCTGTATAGAAGTTAAATTTCTGGAATTCAGTTATCAAGTGAACTTTAGAAAGCAGATGGATAACTGGCCAAAGATATTACAAGGTCATTATCTTTTTAAAAAATATTTTATTTATTTATTTTCCGAGAGAGGAGAAAAGAAGGAGAGAGGGAAAGAAACATCAATGTGTGGTTGCCTCTCATGTGTCCCCCACTGGGAACTGGCCTGCACCCCAGGCATGTGCCCTGACTGGGAATCGAACCGCGATCCTTTGCTTCACAGGCCCACGCTCAATCCACTGAGCTACACCAGCCAGAGTCAAGTTCATTATCTTAATATTTGACAAATAGGTGAAAAACACCAAAATCAGAAGAGGACATGAAAAAATCTCAGAAAATATAAAATATTAAACCTTACTAATAATCATAGATGAGATACTAATATTTTATCATATTAATTAAAAATTAATGAGCACTGATGACAAGGGAGTAAGTAGTATAGTTTCCTACCCCAGTGGCTGGGGGGTACTTTGGATAGCACTTTGGCAGGATGTATCAGAAAAGAGATGTTCGTGTTTTTTCACCTAGTGCTTCCTCCTCTAAGAGTTTGCCTAGAAAATGGTCAGAAATATGGATAAAAATGTTAATTGTAATCTTACATGTAGCAGCAAAAAAACATAAAAATCTCAGAATAGAAGATGGGAAATATAAATAATTACATATATATGAAAATAGCATTTTTAAAGAATATTTAGGAACATGGAAAAATATGATATAGAAAGTGAAAAAAAAGAATTGTAAACTGTATATGTAATATGGTCCAAGGTTAAAAATATGCATAGAAAAGGAACTATATGGAAAAGCAGCAAAATGTTATCTAGTAGCAGCCATCTCACTGCCAATTAGGGATTTTTTCTTTACTCTTTATATTTGTTTATTGCTTTTGTAGTTAGGAAGATATTCATTAATAATAAATTACATATTAAAATGAGATGTTTGTTGTATATAAAAATTTAAATATACCATTTATATTAATGAGGGTGTAGTGAAACAAGCAGTTTCAATAACTAACTGCTGGAGTATAAACTGGCTGTCCTCAAAAAAGGATTGCTTAAGAAAGAATTAAAAATTGGTTGAAGATGATCTGGCATTGTCTGAATACTTTACCATGTATTAAGTGAACTATTTGACAAAAATTTGGACTACTAAAAAGTTAGTGTATGTATGACTTTCTCTAGAGGATGGTACTAATTTAATTGGTAGTAGTAATAAACCAACAGGAACAGAAAAAAGGTTTAAGAATATAGCTCCTCTACAAATGATCAGAAATATCTACAATCCTGTTCAATTTTCTGTAATCTCTCCTGCAGTTACGGTTATATTTTGGTAAACCTATTCCACCTTCTAGCCTTTAAACCCATTTACTTTCTTAGTGAGGAGGGTGGGGTATACCAGGGTATCGGAGTGACTGATTGCTGTTTTTCTTCTCCATCACCACCACTAGCAGTTGAACCTTGGGTTGTAAGGCCATGGTAGCCTTCACTTGCTCAGTGAAAGAGCACATTCTACTTTATTGCTACCAAAAGGCCTTTGTTGGAATTCTATTCTGTCAGCAGCAGCAAGGTCACATTTCAACAGCCTTATTACTTGTAGACAGGCAATCTCAGATACTTTATATACTTTTTTAACCATTTCAGTAAACTTATTCTGTAGTCTTGGCTTATCAAAATTGTATTTTAATAAATTTTGACTTTCAAAAACAGTTTTTTGGCACATAGATTATACTATAAACAATGAAATTATGAGCTTTTATTTATGTCTAATAGTGTTTTCATATAATTAAGAATGTATTATAGGAAAAATGAGGACTATTTTTCTCTTAAGAGATTAAATACAATTTTCTCCTCTTTATAACTAATAATATGGGAGAAATGAATAAAATTTTAGATTTCTCTGTAACTTTAAATTAATTAATTCATTAATTTGAAATTTGCAGTAACTAAATGGGAAAAATATAAACAAAGTATTTATAAAAGAGGGCAAAAAAGATTAATATGTTAGAAAATACTAAAATTTGCCAGTAATATTCTTCAGAATATTAGGAACCATTATTTTAAATTATTGTTGCCAAATTATTGATGCCAAAGATATCTTTAGAAGGGGGTGTGATAGGAAAAGGATCAGAAAGAGACACTGTAAAATGATTTTGGGATAGTAGGAATATGAGTATTGGTATCCTTCTTTCTGTATTTTTCAGATATTTTATAATGTGTATGCACTACTTTTACAGTGTTAGAAAAATTATAATATAAACTGTGCACTTGATCAGCTTATACTATGGAATGAAACCACTCTCAGGAAAACCTCTGTGAAAAAGTGAGAAGTGGTAGAAAGAGTATGCGATAGTCATAAAATAGCTGACCTTTTTGTTTAACCCTGGTTCTTTATTTGCTAATGTCTTTTTCTTCGTGCCATGCCATCGTCAGACCCTTGAGACTGTGTAGTGAAAGGAGCTCAGGCTCTGGAGGAATCCAGATTTGGGTTGTGATCTGCAGTTTGCCACTCTCTTGTGTGCCTGACACAGTAACTTCTCTGAGCCTCTGTTTTTTCATGGGAATTATAATGCTCACATTCGCAGGGTGTTGTGGGGGTAAATGAGTTGGTAAGTGTAAAGTGCCTGTAGTACCTATGATTGCTATTGATTTTGTGTATTGGTAACAGAAAGTAATACAGGTAATGATTGGGAATATATGGAGAATTACACAAAATAAAGACTGCTTCCTATTTACTTATCCCTTTCAAGCAGCTTCATTGCTATCAGTGAGGCAAGCTTTGCCACAGAGGTGTCATTTTTAGTTTTTCTCACACATTTATGCTCCGTTTTTTCATTATACTGTTTCTACAATTCTTGTTCTTTATTCTTGTCATGCATGTTTCCATAGTCTTTTGAAAATTAAAAACTTTTTCCTGATGTATTTCTCTAGATATCCTTCCTCTTTGTTAGGCAAACAGAAATTTAATTGTATGAATGTTTTTTCCTATTGAAGATTTTGTTTGTAATGATTATATTAACATTTATTAATTAAAGTTCAGTTTTTAGGTTCCAAAAAAATTTTTCTCCTGGAAAAATGTTTATTATATTTCTTAAATTAATTGTTCTTTTGTGCTTCCAATTTTTTCATTTTATTCTTCAAATTATTATATATTTTTGAAGTCACAAATAACTTTTGACAGTTTCTATAAATATTTTTCAGAAACTAATGGAACGAATTCAGAATCCTGAATATTCAACAACCATGGACATTGCACCTGTCATTTTAGCTGCTCATCGAAACAACTATGAAATTCTTACAATGCTGTTAAAACAGGATGTATCTCTACCGAAGCCTCATGCAGTTGGTTGTGAATGCACGTTGTGTTCTGCCAAAAACAAAAAGGACAGCCTCCGACATTCAAGGTCAGAAAAATGGGATTTTTTTATAAATAAATGTGTGAGGCAATAAGATATGTGCCAGTGAAATTTTTTAGTTCTTGTTCTTTCTTTGTTGCTTTTAAGAAATATAATACTAATGAAAGCCAAACTTCTAGCTCCTTTGCTTAATACAATGAGTTCTGAAATTTTAAAGAAATGCTTACTAAATGATTAATAATTAGGACACTTCTTCAAATTATGAATAAAGTTTATTTCATATTTCTACTGGTGGGGGCTGGAGGCACTATTCACATGTTAGGAGCAGAGTTTATTAGTCAAAGAGAATTTCCAAGTAATAGAAAGGGGAGAGATACACTTCCTATCTTCTTATAACAAAAATTGTTTTCTATCTAACTAAATATTGTTGGGTTATCCCTCTTACTTTCTCTCTCATACCATTTATATTTAAGTCTATTTCTCTTCCCATTCTCTCCAGTTGAAAATAGTAGTAACAACTGAGGAGTGAATAAATGAGAAAGTACCCTATCCTAGGTAGGTTGAGTAAGGTCATACATGTTGAATGAGCTATATGGTTCTGGGCCAGGCTTGTGATTCTAATGTTCAGCATAAGCCTCTCTCTCTCTCTCTTTTTATATATGTATAAATATTTATATATATATAGTAGTATTAAGCATAGCATTTACTATGGAAAATGTGGTCTGGAAGTCCACAGGCAGATCATTGACAAGCTGTTTTTTAGTTAAGGATTGTTGTACAGTGTATATGAAATTAGCTTTAAAACTTTAAAATTTCACCTGGCCAGGTGCTCAGTTGGTTGCAGCATAGTCCTGTGCACCAAAGGGTTGCAGATTCATTCCCAGTTAGGGCACATTCCTAGGCTGCATGCTCAATCCTGGGTGGCATTGTATGGGAGGCAGCCAATTGATGTTTCTCTCTCTCACTTTTCCCCTCTCTCTAAATCAATTTTAAAAAACTGTAAAATATCCACATTCTCTCTCTCTTCATTTTATGAACAGATCTTTGATGGATTGACAGTCATAAATCCATAAATTGGGAAAGTCTCTTGGAAATGGATTTAATATTTATTTGCAGAAGTTGAATTGGAAATTTTTTTATATTTTCAAATTTATTTTAAAATGAGATTCTCTTTGATAACGTTTGGTTGACAGCTGACTATATTATTTACCTTTTTAGTTTTAAAATGGCTAGTCTGTAAGATGACTTTAAGGCTTCTTTTAGTTTAAAAATTCCTTCTTAATATTAACTATAAATATTTTTCAAATAGTATGCCTACGAACTGTAGTTGAAGCAGCTGGGGTGGTGGATTGGGGCTGGAAAGAACACTACCTAGGTTGGTTTCAGAACACTTGTTCTGAAAGCTTTTGGAGGATCTGTGGCTTGAGCTCAGTCTTTAAGCATGAACAAGAATTGAAATGTGAAAGACATTTTGTGCAGAGAGTACAAAGTGTGATTGTGGTTTATTTGGAGAACTGCAAATGGTTTGATATATTCTCAGGAAAGTTGGAGAGTTTGTATTGATGTTTGAGAAAGCAGTTATAGGAAAGGCCCTTGACTAAAGTCATTTTCAGGAATTGCTAAGCAGACCTGCAGAAGGGGGCTAACAAAAGGAATAAAAAGAGATATGGGATCAACGAAGTGAAAGAGCCAAGGATTATACGACATTGGTTTCTAAATTTCAGAGAGAGTGCAGTTTCAGGTGAGGATAAGGTCTCACCTGAAAGGTCTCACAATAATTTTAAATGGCTTAGTGAAGGGTAGTGGGCCATTGAGTTTAGAAAAATATTTTCAATGATATAATTGCTGTGATTTTCTTTTAATCTAAAAATTCTATGTGATGTGAAATGTTAAATAACTTTAAGGAAGATTTGAAATCTTATTTAAAAGAAGGCAATTTAAAAATGTTGAGAAACACTGAAATTGGGAGCAATAACAAAGTAAGGGACGACCAGTTAAATTTAATCTGCAGAAGTGTTTTGTTTAATCTGCAAAATGTTTTTTTATAATTTTAAATTTGAATGCCTGTAAGCCTCATGTACACGCAGCTTTACTCATATTATTACCCACTTCACCCCTGAAAGCAATTTAATTTATGAAATCTAGTACATATCTGCCAAGACAATAAGATATTGGCCTTGAGAATAATCTTAAGGATATGAAATATCTTTTTGATAAAGATACTTTAATATACTTCTTGTGTTTATTTAGTTATACAAGCAATGTATAAATAAGTCCTAAAATCCTTGTACAACTTCTAACTTTAATTTTTGTCAGATGTCTCATGACCAATTCTAGTCCTCCTCCTGTGTACAGAACTAACAAATGTCATTTTAATGTTCTACATCTGCTTCTTAATAGCTAATACTCCCATTGGTTAGAAATGTGAGGCCTTAATGAAAACATCATGGTACTGGCATAAAAACAGACATATAGATCAATGGAACAGGGTAGAGAGCCCAGAAATAAGCTTGCACCTTTATGGTCAATTAATTTTGACAAAGGAGGCAAGAACATACAATGGAGTAAAGATAGTCTATTCAATAAATGGTGTTAGGAAATATTGGACAGATATGTGCAAAAAAATGAAACTAGATAACCTTCTTACACTATATGTAAGAATAAACTCTAAATGGATTAAAGACTTAAATGTTAGACTCAAAACCATAAAAGCCCTAGAAGAAAACATAGGCAGTAAAATCTCGGACATTTCTTATAGCAATATTTTTTCTGATATATATCCTTGGGCAAGGGAAACAAAAGAAAAATAAACAAATTAGACTACCTCGAACTAAAAATGTTTTGCACAGCAAAGGAATTCATCAACAAAATGAAAAGACAACCCACTCATTGGGAGAACATATTTGCCAGTGATACATCTGATAAGGGATTAATATTCCAAAACTTATAAAGAACTTATAAAACATAACACCAAAGAAACAAATAATCCAACTGAAAGATGGCCAAAGGACCTGAATAGACACTTCTCCAAAGAGAATATTCAGATGACCAATGGACATAAGAAAAGATGCTCAATGTCACTAATCATCAGAGAAAAGCAAGTTAAAACCACAGTGAGATTTCACACCTGTCAGAATGGCATCATCAATAAATCAACAAACAATGAGTGTTGGTGAGGAGATAGAGAAAAAGGAACCCTCATGTACTGTTGCTGGGAATGCAGAGTGGTGCAGCCATTGTGGAAAGTAGTGTAGAGTTACCTCAAAAAATTAAAAATGGAACTGCCTATGACCCAGTGATTCCACTTCTGGGGATATATCCTAAGAAACCTGAAACACTATTTCAAAAGGATATCTGCATCCCTATGTTCATCGCAGTATTATTTACAATAGCCAAAATTTGGAAGCAGCCCATGTGTCCATTAGTAGATGAGTGAACAAAAATATAGTATTCCATGTACACAATGGAATACTACTCAGCCGTAAAAAAAATAAAAAGGAAGGAAATCTTACCTTTTGGGACAGCATGGATGGACCTGCAGAGAATTATGCTAAGTGAAATAAGCCAGTCAGAGAAAGACAAGTACCATGTGATTTCACTTGTACATGGAATCTATTGAACAAAATAAACTTAACAAAATAGAGACAGGTTTATAATATAGAGAACAGATTGGCAGCTGTTAGAGGGCAGGGCAGGGGGCTTGAGGGGCTAGGTGAAGGAGGTGAGGGGATTGAGCAAAGAAAAAACAAGACTCATAGACGTGCACAACAGTACGGTGATTACCAGAGGGAACAGGAGGTGGGGTATGTAGAAGAAGGTAAATGGGGTAAATGGTGATGGAAAGAGACTTGACTAGGGGTGGTAAAACACAATACAGTGTATGGATGCTGTATTAGAGAATTTTACCCCTGAAACCTATATAATTTTTATTTACCAATGTCACCCCAGTGAATTTTAAAAAATGAAATGTGACCGTTAACTGCAGTTGTTAGGTTGGAAACTGAAATCTCATCAGTGGTTGTCAGTTACATGTGGAAGTTAGAAATTTCATCATCCAGTTTCTGTCTATGAAGATTGCATTCTCCTGTGTCATGAATATTGCCTGTCTGTTATTAATATTGCCTCATCTACTCCAGTTCTGCTTATGGTTAGCCATGGGTTTGTAATATACGGCCATGACTGTGTTAAGCTTTGTTCTCTATTCCCACTTTTCTGAGAGTTTTAGCATAATTTGGTGCTGGATTTTGTCAAGTGTTTTTTCTATATCTCCTCTGCCAATAATGACAATTTTACTTCCTCCTATCCAATTTGGATGCCTTTTCTTTCTTTTTCTTGTCTTATTTCTGTAACTAGGACTTCCAGTACTATGTTGAGTAAGAGTGGTATAAGCGAACATCCCTGTCTTGTTCCTGATCTTTTTTTTTTTTTAAGATTTTATTTATCTTTAGAGGGGAAGGGAAGGAGAGAGGGAGAGAAACATCAATGTATGGTTGCCTTTTGTGTGTCCCTGCTGGGAACTGGCCTGCAGGGAACCAGCCTGCAACCCAGGCATGTGCCCTGACTGGGAATTGAATCGTGATTGCCTGGTTTGCAGGCCCGCGCTCAATCCACTGAGCTACACCAGCCAGGGCTTGTTCCTGATCTTAAGGAAAATGCTTTTAGTTTTTGACCATCGAGTATGATGTTGGCTGTGGGTGTGTCATACATGGCCTTTATTACACTGGGGCATTTTCCCTCTGTTACCACTTTACTGAAAGTTTTTATCATAAATGGGTGCTGGATTTTATCAAATGCTTGTTCTACATGTATTGATATGATCGTGTGGTTTTTATCCTTCATTTTTTAAGTGGTTTATCGTGTTTATTGATTTGTGGGTACTGTACCACCCTGCATTCCCTGGAGTAAATCGTACTTGGTAATGGTGTAAGATTTTTCTAATGTATTGCTAGAACTAGTTTGCTAATAGTTTGTTGAAGTTTTTAGCATCTATGCCTATCGGGGATATTGGCCTATAATTTTCTTCTCTATAGTGTTTTTATCTGGTTTGG